CTATGTATTGCGTGCAGTGTGTAGACGTAAATCGCATTGATTGCTTTCGAGGAAAGTTACCAGGCGAAGGGTAACATAACAAAATCATTTGAGAAAGATCTAAGAAACACTGATCTGCAATAGCACGCATTTTCATTGTTTAATTGCAAAACTAACTAATTTGACTAATTTGACTGAAATGAAAGAAAGCTTGAAACTGAAGAAGTCTAAGATTTCTTATAAGTAAATCTACTCAAAAAGTACACTCCGATTTCTTTCTAATTTGGCACAGATATAGAAGTATAAAAAATATTTAGGTCATATTTTTTCATTTTGGTCTACTTTGAATTTCACAGGCAATTTAGCAGTTTATAGCTTTTTAATGTTTTCGCTCCTTTTATTAACAAATACAACAAAAATACATATAAATAAAATTGAATACAAGATATAATTCAATAATTATAACAAAATCGGCGCAGCTGAGACACGAACCATTCTAAATTTCTTTAGCTGAGATATTTTCAACTGAAATATTTCAAATCTGTGCTAAATTAGTAAAAAATAGTTCGAATCTCGGCCAAACCGAGAAATTATTCGTATAAATAATTTTTTTCAATTTTTTACATATTTTATTTAAACATTTTACTATTTATACACATAATTTTATACATTTGACTTCATATTCATAATCAACAAACCAAAAACACCTATATCTTGTATTTAATCTTATTTCTTATGCATTTTTGTTGCACTTATTGATAATAGGAGTGAGAACATTAAAAAGCTATAAACTGTCCGTTAAACTCAAAGTGGAAAAATATGACCTAAATATTTTTTGTACTTCTACATTTGTGCCAAATTAGGAAGAAATTGAAATGTAACTTAGGTAGATTTACTTCTTAGTCTAAGAATGTGATACTATATAACTTGCGCAAAAACTGAGAATCAAGTTTTCGCTAAAAATATCAAAAAATTAATACCCGGGAAAGTCGAAGAATTCCGTTGCGCAGAACGCCAGCGCGTTCTTCAGTATACGCGATCCTGAATCGGCCCTTTGTCACGTTTCATCGCGCACTTTCTTCACCTTCCACCCACACCCGCACGCACACTTTAAGTATCGTGTCAGGACATTAAGTATCTTCTTCCCTCGCGGTCGAAATAATAAACAGATCGGCCGCGGAGATCGCGTCGTCGGCGGGCTCACACCTGGTGTTCGCCGACGACGACGACGACGACGAGAGGGAGGACGCGAGACGACCGTGTATAACTTCGCGTTTCTCCAGGCCTCATCCTGCAGGATCGCGATCATCGTGCATCACACTCCGTCTTGTATATCGCGGCGAGCTCGCTTACCCCGCTCCGCGGTGTATCGGCATGAATGAACGCATCGCTCATTGCGCTCGCGAGCCGCGGCCTCAAGGTAGAGAATAGCAATCAGCAACGCGCGATGGATGGCGTCAGGTGGCGAGAGATCGTAGATGGGGACTTGTCTTCAGCCGCGTCGCCGTTGCCGGCCATGCGTTTCGTAATTGGCTGAACTCGAAAAGTACACTCAGCGTGTTACGATTCTCAATGTATTTAGTTAGGATATTCGACTGCTTTTATTTTCGTAATTGCGTCGAAATTTGCTCGCGGAGTTAGCTATGATAGGAAACAAGGTAGAACTACCAATCCTGTGTATTTAATCCTAGACTTTTGTTTTTTGTCTTAAAATACGAATGTTTAAATTTTCGACATAGAGCATATATTTGATATGTGTATTTAAACGATGTCCTCGAAATGTATGCTTGATTGCTGAAACTTCATGCGATAAAAAGTGTGCAAATCGTTTTGCAACAGAGTATATGACTTTTATTTATCAAGCTGCGATTGGGTTATTAAGTGCGACTTATATTTTCTTTCTTATTTTTCAAACTAGACAAACAACAAGGGATATATTAATTTTGATACTTCGCGAGGTTCTTTCTTTTTGAAATTCTCCCAGTGACGTTGGAAATATCGAAACGTTGAAGCTTTCGTTTCAGCTTTCGTGTTGCAACAAACTGTCCGACTCGCTAACAAGGTTGGCGCGATTTTCAGCGGCGAGAATAAACGCACAGCGCGAGCCGGCACTTTATCTCAAGCGTTCCCCGCCCACACCTTCGATAATGAAGTATCGCGAATTAAAATATGCGGAAATAACTGAAGATCAAGCGCGGCGAGATACGCCGCACAGTGGGCAAAAAGACTCTCGGTGGACAAATTAGTCTAGATGGTATAATTTTTAACCAATTTTAATCCCGTTATCTTTTTTTAATTTACTCGTTATGAATTGCTCTATAATTTTGTCGAATCACTTTTTAAAATTAGAGCTTCAATTCAATATGGCGGACACAAAATTGTCTTGGAAACATAAAAACTATAAGATATTGAATATGCTTGTATTAGACAAAATATATACAGGTTTTAAGGATTCTTAATTACATATATGAGGTCAAAATTTTAATTTCTTGCCACTTGAAAGGACCTAAACGACCCGAAACGTTTTACGACTTTCTGATATCTTCATACTAACAGTGCATTCAGATTACGTTTTTATTCACACATTTGTACATATTGCTTGTTAAAATATGTAAATTTCAAAATTTAGCTTGAAATTTACATATTTTAACAAGTAACATGTACTAATAGCATCTTTCCTTATCCTTAAAACCTGTATATATTTTATTTAGTGCAAGCATATTCAATATCTTATGATTTCTATGTTTCCAAGACCATTTTGAGTCCACCATTTTGAATTGAAACTCTAATTTTAGAAAGTGACTCGACAAAGTTATAGAGCAATTCATAAGGAGTAAATTAATAAAATAGGATTAAAATCGGTTAAAAATTATAACGTCCAGACTAATTTGTCCACCGAGAAAGCCTTTTTGCTCCACTGTGCGCGCCGGCGCGATACACCGAAACTGCGGACACGCTCGCGCGCTTACCTGAACATCGGCTGCGTTCAGTAGAGAAAGCTGCTTTGCAACTGTTGTAAAATTCGTAAATCTGATTGGAGTATGTTCTTAATTTTGGTTGAATCCAAGAGCATATACCAATCAAATTCACGAATTTTACAACAGTTGCAAAGCAGCTTTCTCTGCTGGACACAACCATTGCAACAGTTTTCTCTACTGGCCGCCCTAGGTCTTGAGCTAGTGCAACCAATTCAGGCAGTTCAGCTAAAACGGCCAGATCTATTGTACTCGCCTGTCCTAGTTCAGTTTGGTACTAGTGCCGTTTTCGTGCAGCGAAAAAGAAGAAACCTCAGAGTGCTCTGAAATCCTCAGCCATTAACGCCGACGCGCTCGCTGGTCGCGAGGAATTGAAGATACGCGTGATAATTTCTACGTGTCGTGGCCAGACCAGGTTGCGGAAGCGAGTGCATTATTGCACCGTACCGGGGCGGCTCGCTTCGGGCTCCGTAATTGCTCTCGTAGGTGGTGGAACGGAAGAGTTCGCGGCGGGGCTCGTAAAGCTCGCGGTTCACTATGCAGCGTGTAATTTAAACATTGCCTCACTTCTGTACGCAGCCATGCCACCCGCATTGTGAACTCTCAGCTCGGCCGCGTCGCGCTGGGCCGGCGAAAACGTATATAGCCGGCATAATGGCCCGCTAATGGTAATAATGGACAGTTTGATCAAACGCGAAGGCCCGGAACGACGATGACGACGATGGACGGTCGTCCGGCGTCGAGAACGCGGGCCTCGAGAAATTTCACGAAAACCACAGAGTTACTCAATTCGGGGGTACTAGGACTCGTTATTAAGTACAGATTATTAAGTACCGATCGATCTCGAGCCGGTTATTAAGCAATCGCGTTAGTGCACCGTGTGATTTACTAAAATACCGGCAAAATAATATCGTTAAATTAAAATCGTCGTTACGTTTAAACGACCCGGGGTTTTATCGGGCACGGCAATCAAGCATCCAGACGGTCTAACGTAATCTCTTTAAGGACGTCGGCAAAATGAAACGTGAAAGAGGTAAAGAAGAGAAGAGGCCGCGGGATATGTATCAAGAAGCACAGAGGAGTCACCTTGAGCGAGCAACGCGAACGATCCGCCGACGCGCCTTTTAAACGCGGCATAGGAGAGCTGCCGATACTTAACGCGCTCGTAAATCCGAGTAATTAGCGGCTCGTTACGGATAACGAAAGCGCGGCTAAATCCTACATCACAGCGCCGGAGCGACGTCGGCTCTTGCGCGCGCGACCGCGACCGAGAATTAACTCGACTATAAATTTAATTGTCTCGTGGTCCTGCTCAGGCTGATCCCAATCAGTCACCTGGTTTGTATCAGACGATGTTATCGGCTCCTGATAAGTCATTTAATACGACTCGGCAATCAGAACCTTATTAGTAATGATTATTAATAATTAAGACCTTACCAATAATTAGGTCCTGATAACGTTACCTTGTGCATAAACCAGATAACTAATTGGAATCAATTTGGTCAGTAACATGAGAAAAATTTCTTACATGCAGGATAGTCAGAAAGCGTTGAAAATCTGTTGCAATTGCGGTGAGTCTACTCGCGTCATTTTAGCGGATACGCGAAGGAACAGCCCATCTCGACGTTGAATGAACGAACGATTTTATCGATAATCCACGTAACATTTGTAACACTTTCCAAATATTTTTCTACCGGAGCAACAATTGCATAATTGCCTTATAATCTTTTTTTTTTACGCCTATGGGAATATCGGTAAAAACGCGAACAGGTTTCTGGCATTGTTGTGTTAGTCGTCGCCGTCGGCGCCGTAACTTGACGAGAGACAGAGAATTATCCAAGAGGTGTGTGCGCGCATTATCTTAACGCAGCCGCGCGCGGAGGGAGATGACTCATTACGCGTTGCATTTTACTGCAAATCTCGCGCGTAAATAGTTGTCCATCATACGCAACATCGATCTCTTATCGCCGATATATTCATATTTCACACTCATCATCACGTTAGCGAACGCGCATGCATTGCATATAGAACAAACGGCGCGATTACATGTCGTTTCCTCGCACGTCACAATGTAATCGTTGATCCGCTCGAGTTTTTTTACTCGCACGAGGCGCCTCTACGAGAGCGTTTTTTTGCGCGGAGGGAAGGAAAATTGCTTGACTTTTCTTCATCGCGACGTTGAAGTAAGCACACCGCGGGAAAGTATCTCTACAACAAAAATCAGTCCGATCAATTGCGCGCGATTACGATCTTATTGGATCGCCTATAAATCACGAAAATATACGAGATCGCCTTTGCTGTTCGCGATTTCGTTATTATTCGCAGCATCACAGCGAGACTCGGGAAACGTGATCGGATCGGCGGCTGATAGTTGGTCAGGAGAACCCGTTGGGAAACTAGATGGGAATGCGTATAAGACTGTGAAGTTATATCTCGCGAAGTCTGGTTTACTCTCTCGCAAGCTGTCGTTCTCCATCTTTCCCTCTCTCTTCTTCGCCTCTCTAGCGGCACACGTTCCGCGTCGCTCCTTCGGTTGTAACTAAGTACGATTAACAAATTGCCACAAAAAGTAACCCCGAGGCCTCGGCCGGATCGCTCGATGCTTCAGCACCGACGACGTGTGCGCTACGTGTCGATATCTCGTCGCGAGCTAGCGTAAGCTAGACAGCGGACTTACCGAGACAGGTTCGACGTTACAATATTATTAAAAAAAAAAAAGAAATAATAAGAGAGGTTCACGGAGGGCATATGAGAAAGTTGCGTCAACGCGACGTCATTCGCGTACAGAAAAAAATGTTATGCAGACGAAGAAATTACTTGTGTGCAGAGATTCAATATAATGTCGGAGATACGTATCACGATTGACGTATGCGGATTAATTACGTTATAAAGTCAACTATATAATTATTGGATTCTCTTAGTTATTAACTCTAAAAAAAATTAATGGTTTCTCATACGACTACAGCAATGCAGTGCAGAAACTTCTCGTTCCTGTGATTCCAAAATCTTCACTACTAAATCTCTTAATAGACATGCCGCAGGTTGCAAAAGAAACCAGCTTTTTCCAGAGTGTCAATGGCTACATGGAGAGAATTTTACAGTAAAAATTAATATAGAACTTTGTAATCGAGGAACAGATTGATATTCTGCAGTGACTTATTATCCTTTTATTTCATGTATGCTATTTACAATTTACAAGCTGGCATGCGTTATTAAGAAATTGCTGCTTCTAGCAAAATTAGCTATGTTTATAAACAAAATTGATATTACTGACAATCTATTCTCCTTCCGTGCAAGAAAAATGCTAATATTTGTGTGATTTACTTCTAATTACAGAAGAAATTAATTTTGCTTTATTGTGGGAAACTATTAGAAGAGAAGGGATTAAAAACACTAGAAAGGGCAGTCTAGGAAGGACTAAACTGCAGTCTATTTTCCCCGCGCAATTAAATTTTTGGCGAATTTTAGTCGACGCTAGTTCCATCTAAATAATCACCGGACAACAAAGAAAGCTACAGCTCATAACTCCTGGCATTAGATCAACGTTTAACGTTATAGGGAGAAATATTACTCTATTGTGTACGACTTGTTATCGTAAATCGAATCTCAATATACCGGCAGATACCGACGTTTAACCGACAGTGATTGTCTTTTCGCGAAAGGCGATTCGCTGCGGAAAAATGGTCGTGTGAAACGAGAAAACGCGCACGATAAATTCTCGACTTTTAAGATGTGCGTGTACAGCAATTCCTCGATGTGTCATGCGTGGTGCGGCAGTCTGAACGCTGGCATAATATTTTCATTTCACGCTGGAGTGCCCGTCTGTCCCATAATATGTCCAGTGAACCCTGCTGAACCCAAAACCACAACCCAGTGCGCGTCCGAGTCACTCTGTCGGGGCCCTCTGTTTCTCTCTCTCTCCTTTTATTTCTGTCGTAGGACGTAAGTCACTCGGTGACACTAAGAGACGTACAAAAATTCCACCGCGTCGATGCACCACGTCGAAAGTTCGTGTTGCGCAGACTAACCCGCGAGAGAGGAGAAGGCCGGCACATGTATATTATACGTGTCTCGAAGACTGACGTTAGGTATCAAAGTCGGCGGGAAAAAAGATGACAGCCGATGTTCTTGAAAGAGATCGGTAATTTCGGAATTACCTGCGATTAAAATCGGAGAACGTTGAAACGCGCTCTGTCTCACTCTCGCGCGCGCGCACGCCCCCGTCGACGGAATTAATACCTCATAATGATTATAACCGGGTCGAAATGAAAACCTTGCGGTTGCCGGAATCTAAAGCCGTTTCCCGGCGGGTCGGCTCGACCTGACAAAAGAGAGGAAGGTTTGCCTGAGCGTTGTTTGACTCCTCCTTCGTCCGTTCCTTCCTTCCCACCTCTGTGAGGTGATCGCTTTCGTCCCGTACATACGTGCGAGGGGAGTAGTGAACTCCTCTGTTGGCCCTCTCGACAAGGTGGTGCCACGGTGAGAACGAGCGTACCTACGTACGTACGCACGCACGCACGCACGCACGCACGCACGCACGTACGTACGTACAGAGAGGAGGAGGAGGAGGAGGTGCACATTTGGGCCCCGGAAGACGACCGAGCGGCGTTGACGACGTCGCCGTCGTCCTCGTCCGCTGCTGGTCGCGTCGTCGCCACTTTCAGCAACGATGGGGACCACCTCCGGGGCGCGCGAGTGTTTAATAAACCGGTTAAGGCCCGTCCCCGGATCTGTTTGCCTTCGGCTTTTGTAACTTTACTAGTGTTGTGACTCGACTCGGGGCCTACACGAAAAAAAAAGGGTCCGCGATGGTACCCGAGCAAACAGTCCGTGTGTGTCCCGTATCAACACGACGCGCGTCTCTATCGGCGGCCGTACCTTCCATAGAGAGCAGGAAGAGGAGGAGGAGAGGAAGGTAGAAAACGGCTCGGTAACGAATCCAAATTTGTCGTGCAAGAATTAGAGTTACCCTTTGACGAGCGGGTTTCATTATTGGGGTGGAATTGCGCAACGAATCACGGTCTAATGGTCTCGCGAGTGTGGCGTTCAAATTATTCTGTAATAATATTTAGGCTCGTACGCGGTAAATTCGCTTGCGAAAGAGTAGACCAACCTCTCGTGTTTCGTTCTACGTCCACCGTTCGCCGTGAGCTCGGAAAATCTTACTTTGAATCCTGACTGCGCGCTGCAATGTTGTTGCGAATAGTTGCGCGTAATGTGATCGCAGTGGACTAAACGCGAATTAATTCCAGCGATTATTTACGAGCTGAAAATCTACGTGAGCATGACGAATTAGGTGGATAGCAATGAGCAAGACTAATTGGAAAGTGGCGGTGATGCGGAACAGCGGCATGCTCGCGGTTGAAACAAACCGCCATTTATTCTGCGGAAAATGGATAAAATATAGATAAATAGACGTGCTCGCGGATAAATTAATCATCGCGCTTGAGATCGCGCAAATAGGATCGAGAATATTGTACGGATGATGGCCAACGACACGAAATCCTAGATCTATCGACAGCTGATATATCTTGCGTAAAAAATAAAATAGATGTCTCTTGGTAAAGTGGCCAACTGTTCGGTCGAACTGTTTATTTACGCAGAAACCCAAGTGATAAGTGTAGATTTCTGCTTGTGCGGAGAGTCAAGCAGATCGATAAGTATCGGAGTATGTGGGGGAAGGTCCTAAACGAGAACTCAGTTATCGATATCCATGTATTTATACGCGCCGGTGCCCCAAGACCGAAGCCAAATAAACACGCAAGCAACCTAATCTAGCGCACTGACTCAGTTCACCGCTTAGTCACTAATTAGTAGATAACAAATTTTTCAAGCACGCGCCGCGAAGTATCGCGTTGATCTCTGCCGCAACGCGAGATCTCTCGAACGACGTATTGCGTGGGGAACTTATTTTTCTGCCGTGTGTAAATAAATAATACGCGAAAGAACGCATGTCAACACACACGGCGTCCCGGAGAAGCGTGTGTGATTACGACTGCAAATGAGGTAAAATGCGCTGCGTGGGATGAATGGTTGTATTATTATCGCAAACAACGAGACTATAAATCTCTCAGGTATCAGTCTTTCAGAGCGTTACGTTGGTGAGAAACGCATGTATTGTTATCACCAGAAAGTGGAGCTTAAATTTATCCGTCGCACAAGATTAAATTAGTATAGCGACTCATCGAGTCGCTATGTCGACTGATGTTCATTTCAGATATCTTTGCGTCGTGCGATTCTCTCGAAATTGGCGACTTTAAGGTATATTAATATTATTCGTAACATTGATACTAATTACCGATATTGCGGCCGTTCTATGACGTAATTGCCGCACTGGGAATAGTTGCAAGAAAAAACGCACGAGTAATTTGTATTTATCAACTTGAAAAGTACAAGAAAATAGAGTCTTATCTAACAAAGATAATTTCAAAGATCATTCATGGATTTCTCGAGTAATATTAAACGTGTAAATCTTTTGCCGGTTAATTCTGTGCTGAGAGAACCTTAATGAGCGGAATAAGATTAACACAAACTCCAATTTGAAGCTGCGGTTTTCAATTTACATAAATTCCAATAATACGCCGCTCAGGTTATTATGACTCGAGATAGTGTTTTACACGAGGGTAAATTATTCAAATGTACGTAGTTAGCGTTTATCGTGCAATTGCAATTACGATATAAGAAGATGGCCTTGTGTTCTTTTCCTACGAGTGCTGGGATTCGCGCAAACTAGGATATTCTCCGGCAGAACCGATCCTGTTTGAAGGAGGCGCGAGAACGTGTTGAACAAAGATTCTTCGATAAAATCTACAAAGAGATGCGTTCTGGTAGATGGTTGCAGAGAAATTAGCAGAAGCGGAAGAGCCAACTTGTGTACGCGCGTCCCGTATTTTATATCGATTCTCCGGGATCTGTCCCGCCATTTCGCACTTGATGATTTCCTTGCAAAACGTGACCATTTTTCGCGGCGTCGGTTTCACGGACGAGATCACTAACCCGTTCGGCGCAATCGATAAAGATAACAAAAAATCGATCAACAAAGAGCGCGACGCATTCCTCCGCGGTCTCTTGTTGCTTAACGTAGCACGCGTTCTCGCAAAACTCGCGTCCCGAAAAACGAACACTTGTCGTCGTGGATTGAGGCGATTTCGACTTTCCCGAAAGAGGCCCTCGCGCGGAGAGACGTCAATGCCTGGAGCGAGATACGCAAATAAGCCGCGAGAGGAGCGATGTAGTGACACACGCGCCAACGCGCGCGCTCGGTGCAACATCCACGACCCGTTTTCATTCGTACGGTGAGTGTTTGCGCGACGAATGCCTCTTACTCGCGAAACGACGGTGTACCAAAGCGAAATATATATGTATTGACAGATAGAGTTATATGCGTTAGAGAGAAAGTGGATAGAATTCAGCAATGTACACACACCGCCTTAGTGTGGCGAGGGCGAACGCTCCGGCCACCAGCAGCTCGAAGATCATCTCTTCCTCGTCCTCCTGCAGGAGAGTCCTCGGCTGCTCCGGGCGACAGTTTCCGCTCGCATCCACTCGCTCGCTCGCGTTCCCACCGCCTCGGAGATCGGCTCGGCTGCACCGTAGAAGACGACGCTGTCCGTTGCCTCGTCCAACCGTCGCGTCCCGCTGCCGGGGACGAACCGTCGCGCGCGCGCGGACACCAACAATCGAGTCACGATCCGGAGTATATCGCGACGAAGAGACAGAGAGGCAGAGAGAGAGAGAGAGAGAGAGGAGAGAGAGAGAGAGAGAAGGACCGTCAGAGAGTAACGAGAACGTGTTCACCGGCGGTGTGGTTACTGCTGCGCGTCAGATGGACGTCAGAGTGACATAACAGCGCACCAGGAATCTCCACATCGTCGGTGTGCTCACGAGACTCGGATCCTGATCGGCACGGCCGTTCTCCGTCGGGAGATCGGCACGACGTGACGCAACAGCCGACCGTCCACCTGTGCGCCGCGATCGGGTCGAGGTAGCCGCGGTGGACCGTCGCGCCCGATGACATCCGAGGGCCCTCGCCGGTTGCTCCCTTCGACGCGTTGCAGACTCTCCGAGAAGAACCACCGGCGCGGTTGACCATTCGGCTTGCCGATCTCGTGGTGACTGAGTGGGTCCCCCGGTTGCGACTCCCAGTTACTCACTCGAGCTCACGGACTCACTACTCACCTCGTCCTCTCGCTCTCGCGCTCGTTCGCTCGCTCACCGCCACTCGGTCCCACCTCCCTTCCTCCTGCCACCGCTGCCTCCAGCCCCCTTCCGTAGCCCCACCGTAGTCCTCCGATCTGCCAGTACGTCCTCCCTGTCCTCCCACCTGCGCGCACGCCACCCTCACTGCGCGACCTCCGCGTGGGGAGCGGTACTGTTCGTGGACTGTGCGCGGGCTCAGGACCCGCGGGCCACATCGATTTCATTACACGTGTCATTAAACTCGCCGGTCGTCTCGCGAGTCCGATCGATCACATGATGGAAACCGCGAGATCGCGATTGATCACTAGATAGATGGAGTCCAAGAGGATCTGTTTGAGAGGGTGAGGTTCGGCGTGTCGACGCTGAGGCGGTGCGTGTACCTTTGAATCGATCGTCGGCTCTCGTAGGGCACGTGACGTATTTCGGACAGAGGGAGAAGAGGGGAAGAGCTCGTTATGCGTGATTGAGGAAAATATGGGAAACCGTAGATATTTTTACACATGACATTTTGGCGAACTCGGGGAACCGACTCATTAAACACCAGGATAGCCGGTAATGATGTACGTGGGAAGGAGGAAAGAACGATTAGACCGGAATAGACTTTTTCAGGGGAATACTCGCGTTGGTCAAGGTCGACGGTGCAGATAAGCGAATTACAAATTGAACTGTCCAAGTAGTCGCGATCGCATCTAAATTAATTTTGAGAACTTGATGATTTTGAGAACGATAAAACACATGAACACACATACTAGCGCTGTTGTTCCGCCTCGTATTTGCCGAAGGCACTGTAACTAGCCGATTGCGGGTGAAGATGTGAACACTCGGGGAAATAACCGCGTCCAGGTACGCGGAAACCGATCGTGGAAACAAGGAAAGTAAGTTTCTGTGTCAGGCACGCGGCTTGTAAATCAATGTTCAACGGGGAGGAGGTCTACTCTTGACGGGCCGATGACTAAGACTCGTTACATTATGTATGTCTCCGAGACGCCTAATGTGCAGTCTGGCCGGTACTTGTCTTGATGTCTCATCCTCTGTGTAATTGGTCAGTCGAGCTGTGTTAAAATTCAAATACTTCACGGAAAAACACGATAATCGCTATGACTTTCGTCACTGTTTGCTCTGTATCGCGATTGTCACTCTCGCGTATCGAAAAGTCACGTCACTCTCATCGTCGCGAAAATCAGCCTCGCATGAAAATAAAAGTGAAATTTATTGCGCGGCCGCGCTGTTCCGCAAAAGTTTACGAACAACGTCCGACTCGAAGATAACACGCGGTACGTGTGCGATATTTTAGTTTCGTCGCGGTGAGTGGCAAAATGATTTCGCATCGTTCGATACGTCATTGATAAGATTAGATGAGTTATTCGCGCAATTTCGCTTCGACTCGATTGGCCGGTCAAAATTGCACATTTGTAAACGATACTGTCCATGATGTCGCAAACATAATAAACATCTTGCTAAACGGGTAAAAGCAATTGCATAATAAACCACCTACTTAGCTTACGTCATATTGAGCAATATTCCAGTGTTTTACAATGTTAGGCATTAATGAAAATAATAAAAATTTCTTGTGACTAAAATAATTAGCAAATCGATCATCAAAATTAATCAATCGTTATGTAGTCACGAGTAATTTAATCGATGATTTAATTATTTATGATTTTATAACAAATTAGTAAAATATAATTTTACGATGAATTATTTGTGATATATGACGACTGATTAAATTTGATTGCTGATTGCTTTGATTCACAGAGAAATTGCACTGCTCCAATCAATTTTTGCACGTACTGTCATTGTATGTGAAAGCACTTGCGATCGTCTCCGGTACGACGTAAAATAGTAGAAAAAAAGTTAATATTTTAAATTTTCAAATACGCGACATATTCTTAAGTTTAACATTCTTAAGTTTAACGTCGTTGGAGAGCAGCCGCGAGACTTTCCGGACTCGTATTTGCTCGCTCCGATTTCCGGTGGCTCCGTCCAACACCTATCGGCTCGAATCAGTTTTATTAGTCGCAAATATTTGCAAGGTGGTTCCGTGCGCCCCGTGGCCGACGAAGGGGCCCGGTTCCATTAACGCGTGCAAATTATTCGAATATTATGCGCTACAAATTAGACGGCAGCGCCGGGCATGGCCCTGCTGCGGGCCACGTCGGTGCTCCGGCGAACGCCTCGGGATTTTAATTTAACGATGTGTGCGCGCGCGCGGTCGCTTAACTCGGGGCCCAGAAACGCGCGAGCTACCCCGGAGGATCCTACCGCAAGGGGATCGAATTACCGCGCCAATTATGGTGTCACGTCGTTAATTGACCGGTAGTCCGTTCCTACGACGAAAAGGCGTCTACACGCGAAAAGCGAACACTCCGACGATGCGCGTCCATCTCGTTAAAGTAATATCAGAGAGCGCGTCGCGATATCCGGCGCATTCTGATCTTCTTCTCGTGCTCCTTTTTCCGCGACGAGCGAAAGCGTCCTTTTAATTTCTGAAAGTTGAACTCGATTTTTGGAAATTCCAGTTCTTGGCAATTGGCTTCCTCCTGCGGACGAGATTTGTTGAGATCTTTAGTTTCAACATTCCTTCCGCATTTTTATTTTTCATGTATCTTTTTATTTTTTTTTATGGGCATTATACGTGTATTTGTGAAAACAACGAACACGTGTTTATCTGCAGGAGAACTTCTGATTGTTCTGTGAACAACGGAAAGATCAAGCCGCGCGTATTTGTCGTCAGAATGAGAAAATTGGGAATTATTCCAGCAATACGCCGTCACTTATATAGACTAATTTATTCGCCGCCCCTCATGCCACAAGACTACAAATACGAGAAGAGCTCGTAAAGAAAGCGGAAAGATACATAAGAAATGAAAGCACACCATGGAAGAAAGACTGATAACGTACAAAGCCGCTAAATTGAAGCGTCAACGAACCGCGGACAACAGCGTTTCCGCGACATTTGTCAACGAAATGAGGAGTATTGTGTCGTATAGTGTAATGGATTATACATTATTACTGTGCATTATCATAATGCGTTATTCGCAACTAAAGAGGTAAGAGGTAACGCTAGGGAATACAAAGTACTCACAGAAAAAAACACTGAAGATATTATTTGCTAAAATATGGTTGCCGCAACAAATTATCAATGCTAATTTTTAGTCAAGCATACAAAATGATTGCAGTAACCATAATGTTCTGAAAATGATATATTAGGTTGGTTCTTCTTACAAGTAAACCTATCTAAAAGTTACACTCCGATTTTTTTCTATTTTGGCACAAATGTAGAAATACAAAAAATATGTAGGTCATATTTTTTTATTTTGGCCCACTTTGAGTTTCACGTATAGTTTATAGCTTTTTAATGTTCTCACTTCTACCATAAATAAAAATGCACAAGTGCAACAAAAATGCATAAGAAATAAAATTGAATACAAGATATAGGCGTTTTTGGTTTGCTGATTATGAATATGAAGTCAAATATGTAAGATTATTTGTATAAATAATAAAATGTTTAAACAAAATATGTAAAAAGTTAAAAAAATTATTTATACAAATAATTTCTTGGTTTGGCCGAGATTCGAACCATTTTTGACTAATTTAGCATAGATTTAAAATATTTTGGTTGGAATCTCAGCTAAAGAAATTTAGAATGGTTCGTGTCTCATTTACGCCGATTTTGTTAAAATTATTTAATTATGTATCTCGTATTCAATTTTATTTCTTATTCATTTTTGTTGTATTTTATAATAGGAGTGAGAACATTAAAAAGCTATAAACTGCCCGTGAAACTCAAAGTGGACCAAAATGAAAAAAATATGACCTAAATATTTTTTTTACTTCTACATTTATGCCAAATCAGAAAGAAATCGGAGCGTACCTTTTGGATAGGTTCACTTGTTAGCTAAACTGTATGAATTGATGCACACTTTTGCGATAAATTAAAATGAGACAAATATATTTTGTTTCACTCTAACTTATTGCACTAGTCTGCACCAGTTCAGGCAGTTCAACTAAAAAGAATAGACCTATTAACCTTCTTTGTTATTTATACTATACGGAGACAACTACTATGGTTGCTATATCCACATATGCTACAGTTAGAGAGAAAATTTATGTAATTTTAAGTGAGATAGATATGATATTAAAAGTTGCTGTTATTAGATACCAATCTATACAGTTCTCACAGCCATAGTTCTTATTATATATAATATTCAGTTAGTACATCCTTGTATGCATAGTTGTCTCAGCCAAAGGAATGTTGTTGTCTATTTGTCTGTAGAACGAATATCATTTTTGGTTGGAAGATTCGTAGAGTTTAGTCGCACCGTACAGCACTGAGAGTACTGCTCAAATACATATGGATAGGCAGTAAAGAAGATTAGTGTACCACTTCCAGAGTACTATAGTTGCTATAGTTACTGTAGTTACTGCAACCATCTTATATGCTTGAACGAAAATTAACATTAATATTTTATTATGGCAACCATATTTAGGCAAGTCCTTAGTGTTTTCTCTGTGTAACTATGCATTACGTCACAGAAACTGTGACTATAACAATAGTATCGATAGACATATAACAATAGCAACTTTCGGTGCATTTGACTTTAAACTGTATAAATTTTCTTTTTAATCGTAGAAATTGTGCATATAGCAATCGTGGCAGTTTTGTCCGTGCAGGTTAAAAATAGGAGAGCAATATACAAGATTGACCGAGAAAATCATTAATACATTGTTATCTGCTTATAATGGTAAAAGTTTAACACACTCCGCGTTATCGGCAGGTTCAGGTCTACGATACGTTTATCGGGCGTATAAATACTCCACAACGTCATGCATTATCTTTCATTGCGCATTTGCATGTTCAACACATTTAGCCGTTTACGTGTTCGCGCTTTATCGAAACGGCATCGAAAGCGGCCGCATTGACGTTATATGAAGTTCTTCCGATAGGAATCGATAGTGTCGAGGAAAAAAATAGCGACGGGCTTCCCCGAGCTCCTTGGTTTCTTCATTTTTAATGTTTTCATTATATAACGCGTGTGTGTTTCCGAGCAAAGCTGACAGGCCTTTTTTTCCGAGCAATCGCCGCGCTTTGGTAGGAGAAAATGGAAAATATTCGTCACGCTCGGCTAACTCCTGAAATCGGCCGATCTGTCGACACGACGTGCGTTTCCGAGTTTTAATCCTACTGTCGATAGTAAAGTCGAGTTTTTGCCGGTCGTTAGAACGGAAATGCCTTCCACTCTTGCGCTACTTGGTCCTTGGCTCGGTCCAGTTATCATTTTTCTTTTTTCATTCTCTATTCGCTGTCCCACCAGCTTTAGCACCACTCGATTCGATTGGTTGAATGTCGTTGCTGACTGTTCCCTTCGATTGGTCGGCATCGAGACTTATGAACTTATGTGCGCAAATAACGTGCCTGAGCTAAGTGCAGTAGGAGTGAACGTTGCGAGGAGCTCTCTCTGTCGCGCTCCGTCCTTCCTGCTTTTAATTGTCGCTCTTCTCGCCCAAAAGAGCATCTCATTATGCTCTCGAAAAATGTTTCACGATACGTCGAGAAAAATAGTCTCGCACACGAATGATTAACACATGAAACGACTTTCTCGAGTAGAATTATGAAAAAAAAATTTAATCAGTTGAGTGCATTTCCGTCGCGCACTTGGCGTGCACACTAGAGTAGCTGACGTCTATATCATTCGAGAGTGCCATCATCAAATTTATATCATTCACATCTACTTGCATCGACAGAAAAAGCGATAACAGACGATTAAATGGACGCCACGAAGATGATGATTCATAGTGATAACCCGTTTTGTTGTACTTCTAATTAATTAGTCGATAGTAATTCCCTATCGCTATCGCTATCGATGTAATATGCCAGAGTCCAAAGTGCTTTTATAGACTATCTATACTTTGTTCAATATCTTGTCAATAACGCTCAGGGATAAATACTAGAAAGTTCTGGAAAGACTTTCAGATTAGAGTCTTCTGGAGTCTTCTACATTCTAGGAAGAATCTTTTGCCATTCCTTCTCTAGCGTTTAACATACCCCGTTTTTCTCACAAATACGCGAACAAAACGACCTTTTTTGCCCACGTGACCCGATCTATCCTAAATAGCGCGCTGAGGGCGACGTGGACAGAAAAGCGGAAAAATGATCGAAGAACGAGCGGACCGCGCGCATGTTCCCTTCGTCTTCTCTCTTGTTCGCAAAATCGCTCGCATAGCTGCCGCTGACGGGCGTTTCTCGTGCGGCGCGGCATTCCGCGGCTCGTCGCGCAGAAAAACGGCAGACGAAGCGCCTGCTTTCTTTCGGCTCTCGTTCTCGCTTTCCAGAATCAACGCGCGAACAAAGGCACGGCGAAAGATCGCCGGGTTGCCGCTGGATTACACGAGCGCGACCAGTTCCGGAACGCTTTTCGCAAGACACCGTGGCCGAGCGGCGGGCGATTAGCCGCAGGCGTATTTGCCGCGCTCTGATACGAGATGAGCCGTGAAATGAATCGGTTCCGTGAAAAACAGAGATTAGAAGCGCCACTCCGCGGAGTGCCGCTATCGCATGAGGAAAAAGGGTGCAATCTACGCTTCTTTCGGCGAACACGGCTTGCCCGCGAAGCTACTACTCGCGCGATGTGTCGCGGTTTAAATGAGAACGAAATGCTATTAGAGAGAGAGAGGGAGAGCTTTTGCTGAAAAATTGCGAGCGAGCTTTCTTGTTGTCGAAAACGGGACCCGGTGTTATCAGTCAGATTGCGGCTATTAATTAACGATAGGACAGATAATAAGTTATGTATATATGCACGAAAGGTAATTATCATCGGTCGCGCGGGGCATCGCGTAAAAATCGCCTGGTTGAGATGTTCGATTGGACTATCTCCTTTAATTTGTAACTCGAGAACGTCACGTTGCAAGGACTCTCCGATGCTTGACCGCGCTTGTTTGCGCTCGCGAGAGGGTCAACGAGAACGTCATCGCCGTTGTAGCGCGCCTTGTGACACCTCCGTCAGTCGTGTCGAATTTTCATTCAACGCGTCGAACGCTCATCCCGACGTGGCAGGTACCACGTTTCTCCGAACGTTCGTCCGAAACCGAGTCCGAGCGTGAGTCATGAAACTCACCTATTCGCATTCTCCGTGTTCGACGTTAATCCACTTTGTGACCCAGCAGCAGCAGGGACTTTGCACTTCTCGATCTCACGTGTCCGTAGGACGAGCACACACGTGGAGACACGCACACGCGCGCGAAAGCTTAAAGCGGGTCACTCGAGCGATCGAGAGTCGCGATCGGCGCACGCTCCGTAAGGACACTCCCGCCGTATCGGTTTAATGAATGACTAGACTGGAGTGGAACTATGAATGAACCCCGCATAGCACTAGAGTACTATATAACTGTGTGGCACTATATAACCGTTGTGGGCGGTTTCCACTCTCAGCCAATAAGGTCCCCTTGCGGTGACTTGCACGCGGCACAAGACGATTATGTCCGAGCGCCGTAATTTTTTCTTTCCCGGAAATTCGCTTGCATCAAAAGACCGCCAAACGCGTGTAAATTTGATAAAATCTTCTCTACGTCCCTGGGATAATTGGTCTTTCGTCGCCGGTGGTAGTGTTTCGTTGCATTAGAAATGATTGTCTCTG